AAAACCATCTAGTAAAATTAACTAAGGCAGTCGCAAGTTCATATTATATATTGACGTGCGTTTTCATTATTTAAGTTAATCGATAAGATCTTCTATTACAAAACGATGTTATATAATAAGCTCATTTTATTGGAAAATTAAAAATTCTTGTGACGTCACAGTGGGTACACAAAATGTGGCACACTTGATTTTCATACAAATTCTCTATAGTATATATCTAGTCTGTCTAGATATATGTCTGTGGTAGGGAGTTGTAGGCATTTTAAGGAAAGCTGGCAGACGTGATTTTGACTTCAGTTTGTACAACTTCCAATTAAAAAAATTCCAATTATACTTATACAGTATTAATTTTCAATTAAATACAGAATAAACGAACTAGACGACCTCTATACACGCGTCGAAAATTCCTTTGCAAAATTTGCAGCAAATCACCTGTTGCGCACTTACCGTAAATATGAGTCCTAATTATCTCGATGATCCTAGCAGACATTTTAACCATAGTAAAATAAGAGAAGTATTTTAACTCTGTACAAAGTAACAGAGCGACTTGTATGTGTGCGCGACCGCGCCGTGGGTTGTGTACGAACGCACACATTCGCATAATAATGAAAGGCGCGTTGCATTGGGATGACCAGTGTCATGCAACGCAAGTGCATCGCGAGATTATGCAAATTATTGCGTCCGTACACGGTAAGCGGCCGGCGCGCCCACATACAAGCCGCGCTGCTACGTTTGTATGGACTAGTATGGAGTTACCATACTTGTCTTATTGTACGGGACACGTTATCTTGACTGTACGCATATCGGATTAAAATGCCTACAAATGGACATAATCTCCTTAAACATTAGCCTTAATAAGATTGCAAATCCTGGCCCTGTCGACCGTCGTGCAAGATAAGAAATACACCTTTTTATGTAGCTTACTATAAAAACTAGATTTACCACTATTTATAATTTCACAAATACCTTTTATCGTCAAGTACATATACCTGGATTCTACTTAATGTAATTCTAGCGGATCGATTTTAAAAATCATACTTGTCATGTTTATTTTTTATTATTGCCAATAATATAAAAAAATATAACTAGTTACCCAGGTGGACATAGAAAGGCTCAGAAAATCTAGCTAATTCCTAGTGAAAGAGTTCATCCAGAGATCTACTGCCACCTTACCTATTTCTGCCGCCAAGCAGTAATGTGGGCATTACTGTGTTTCGGTTTTGAAGAGTTAAGGGTGCTGGTGAAATTACAGGCCCATGGAACTTGTCAACTTGTGCCACAGGGTAACAGCCGCAGTGGCAGTGTCCCTCAGGTCTTTGTGATTTAGAGCTATAAGTGGCACTGTAACTGCTATGCACAGGCGTGTCGTTTATCACCAGTCGCACGACTTGTTCATCCTGTCGCTTTGTATCATAAAAAGAAATCAATTTAATCTAATTTATTATTCCTTCTGTTTACTTGCATTAAATTTACATTTTAAAATGTTTACTATTATTTTAAAAGTCTTATGCACGTAACACATAATATGTATACTGTTCTATATATACTACCTATTCACAGCCTTTGGAGTCGAAACCCTTGGCCCGTGGGGTCCCGGTGCCCTTCATCTGTACAAAATTTTATCCAAGAAATTAATAGTCTGTCTGGGAAACCCAAGGACCTTGCCCAACGCATTAGCATAGCCATACAAAGGACCGCGTAACTGGTTCTTAATTTTTGGAAATAAATAAAAGTCACAAGGTGCCACGTCGGGACAGTACGCGGGATGGCTCATAAGGTCGACGTTGTTCACCTTCAAAAATTCATTTGTCTGTCTGCCCGTGTGAGAACTGGCATTATCGTGGTGCAAGATGACACGGCGTTTACAGTTACTTTTGCGGAGTTTCGCAATAACTTCCGGCAAACAAATGGTTGTGTACCAATCACTATTAACGGTACAACGATTCTCCAAAGCAACTAAAAATATATTATTAAAAAAAGAAGCAATCATCCGCTTAAAGGCACTTTGCACGCGCGCCACTTTGGTTGGTTTAGGCTCATCTCGAAAGACCCATACGCTCGATTACTACTTTGTTTTGGGATCGTAACTATAAATCCATATTTCGTTACCTAGTACTATGTGCCACACCAAATTTCACGCCCCTTCGCTGAATCTGGTAAGCATAGCATTGCACCAAGCGATGCGATCCGTTTTTTGAGCCTCAGTCAAATTGTGTGGGATCCACTGAGAGCACAGCTTTTCCACACCCAAATATTTGTGTAGTATTGATTGTATTTGACTCATGCCTATGCCTAAAGATGTCCGAATCTCATGGTATGTCACATTCCTGTCTGTTTCAATCATACCGCGCACAACATTGATGTTTTTGTTGTTCACAGCAGAGAACGGGCGACCATCACGAAAATCGTCACTGAGATTCACACAACCGCGTTCGAATTTTTCAAACCAGCTATAAATAGTCGTCTTGCTTGGTGCTTCATCGCCAAAAGCAGTTCGAAGCCGAGCGAAGCTCCGCTGAGCTTTTATATTACACTTAGCTGCCGTTCGGCCCGTTTCTCAGCTGTTTTTTTTTTCCATCGTCTAAGGACCGCTAACGTTCTTCCTCTTAATTGACTTATATTTATATTTCTCTTAATTCTCTTATATTATGATATTACAGATACAATGTTCTATGAGTACTTAAATGTTCATTAGTCATGAATTGCCACGTGATGATGAAGACTTAAAAATTTGTCTGTTGTGCATTTCAATTTGTTTTAACTATCAAACTAACATTTAAAAATATCTACATCCCCCTAAAACATTTTTCTTTGATGGTTTGGATTACTATTGAATTACGATTTAAAACAGAATAATTGGTGTAATATCGAATTCTTAGGTTTTCGCGATTGTTACATATAGGTAACTGGTTGAAGACTGTACCACCTCAGTCAACCGTGACCATGGGACCTGTAAAAGGCCCGAAACGTCGGTTTGTTTGAAAAAACAAATATACACGATTTAAATCCGGAAAAATAATTTCATTTCCTGGTGTAATATGTTGAAAAAAAATTCAATATATATTTTTTTAAATTATTATGATTAAAAACAACTACTATTAATATTTTGGCCCAATCACGTGACATAATAAAAAAGTGAACCCAACAAAAAGTTAACCCGGAACGCAGATTTCTTTAATAATGTTTTTTTATCGTGTGTTAGCAAATTTTTTTTGGCAAAATATTAACAAGGTAAACCGTTGAACCCTTTGATATGAGTGGAAGAAGGGCATAAGTATTTATTTTTTGTCAAATTAAGTAATCAGGCGCTTCAATAATTTTGTTTTTTTTTCTTTTTTTTAGACAGGTGTCGAAGCTGACGTCCGGTTCTTTTTACTTTTTCATATTATCAAAAAACGAAGAACTTTTTATTTAAAGACAAAAAACCAACTGAGTACAATTAAAGTCCATTATAATTGGTGGTTGCTTTTTTGCGTTATAATACTATTCGGGACACTTCAAAATCTGCCTTACATTCTTATTCATGAAATTACTGTATTAGTCTATTTATTATATTAACCGCAGTAGCCTAATTGTTTGACCAACACCTAATTGTTCGACCTCTCTTAGACCTTTAAATTGTTCAGAATTTATGAGCGAAATTTCAATTGAAATTCACCATAAGCTTTTCGATGAGGGAAAACATCGTGATGAAACTTGCACACATCACACACACATCTGCAAAGCAATTTAATTATGTGTGAAGTTCCCAATCGGCATTGGGTTCTCATGAGAACTACAGCCCGAACCCTCTGATTGTGAGAGATTGAGAGAGTAGTGGGACTATATATATATGTATATAGACAACTATTTCAGTTTCAACTATTTATTTAACTATTTAATTTTTAAAGTCCCGTCGTCAACTAAAACAACTACAGGGAACTCAAAATTGGGGCAATGAATCCATTTTGATTTCAAGAATTTTCATTTCCATTTGAATCCATTTTAAGTTCCATACGCGTCTGTCTATATATATTAAGTTGATAAACTCACAAAAATTTGTAAAAGTAACCTCGATTGTGGAACCATTATACCACCTGGTAAAGGTAATAAGGTTGCTTACCTTTTGTTTACTAACAAACTATGGACCTATGCTGTCTGAGAATAAAAGATTTTTATTTTATTTATTTTTAAAGGTCATTCCCTTTTTAAATCTTCGTTTATCTTCGCTCCTTTGACGAACGAACGACTAATATCTAGTATGCCAAATGTACATTTTAGAGCTATTCAAGATTAGAGAGAATCCGAATTTTCTTGACAAACGCATATCATTGTTTATCACGTCATGGCTCAACATCATCAGTGCCGGCTTTACCTATCCTATGGTGCAGGATCTGCGGCGCACACGGGTGTAGGGTCTTAGGGGACGCCCAGCGCCGGTCGCGACGCGCAAGTAAACAGGCTATTGCTTTCAAACATCATATAATTGCACCATTTGCACCCGAATTTCCGATCACCGGCGAAGATATAACTATAAGTACTCCATTTTGATCGCGTACCTACTAGAGTACGCCAGGGTATTGATTACAACCCGGGCACCACATGGGCTAGCGCTGGCGCTAGTATCTGTTGTTATTAATAATCTCAGTGCAAAGTACTAAAAAACCGACCTCAAAAGTTCGTGGAATGAAATCCATTTGCCAAGTTTTATTGAAATCGGTCACCGGAAAGAGTGTGAAACCGGATTCATGTCCTAGTTTGCCATCCTGAGAGGTGGAATATTTTCTTTAAATGGGACCACTACTGAGGTACCCTCTTTCCGACAAAAAACAATCAACAAAATCGGCTTCCGAATTATTACGCGGGTTATCGCGTAACATACATACAAAAAAATACAGTCGAATTTAAAACCTTTTTTTGAACTCGGTCGAAAAAGGAGGTCATTCCATTTATCAGCTATAAACAAAAGGCACGTAAATGTCAAAAAACATTTAATTTTAATACAGTTTCAATTGTTTCAGAAACGAAGACAATCCTCAAAGGAGTGTCGGGACATTTCAGGTCTGGGCAGCTGACAGCTATCATGGGGCCTTCGGGCGCCGGCAAGTCTTCACTTATGAATGCCCTTACAGGGTTCGCGTAAGTACTAGAAAAATATATTGATGTACATCGCTACCTCACACACACAAGTCTTAGCTATCTGTGATGGTAAGTGCGTAAGACCAGTAAGACTCTCTCCCGCTCTTTCTTTCCCTCATCAAATAAGACGTCTATTAAAAAAGCCTAGCGTTCATAAGTGCAGCGAACGGATTCTCTTTGCAAGAGTCAACATCAGAGTTACAGGACAACTAGATCGCAACTCAGTCACGTTTGAACCGTAATGACTGTCCTGGCCGGTGAGGACATAAAGCCCCTAAGTTCAGCGTGTACTCGCGCAGATTCACACCCACAGCAACCATTCTGGCGGAAATCCCCAGTAGCGTCCTGAACTTTGGACGCCCTTAGGCCCGCTACTTATATTTTTATCGGGTTAAGACTCTTCACTCGCTCTTTTGTCCGGTGGCGCTGTCAAGGACCTCAGCGGCGAACTGCAAAGTGTCAGTGTCAAAAACAAAAATCTCGTTGCAAGGAATAGAATTGCTACATTGCACCTGTACAATAAATTAACCAGGACTCATCTGATCATGACCTCTTTTATAATCATTACACTTGACCAGGTCAGGTGAGTACGTCCGCATACAAAAACCTGGCAAGATAAATTAGGTACTAATAGTTTATCTCAGTTCTGCCTTATAAAGTTATTTTAAAGAGTCAACATAAGCTGTGTACATGTGACATTCTCACAAGAATAATGCCAAATACCGGCTCTCCACTAAAACGTGTACGTAATACACAAAGATGACTTAATTCTAGGGATGTCCAGTAGATATATATCGCAGTTGTGATGGCATTCATATAATTGTAACAGTATTAGGGATTCATTCCCTGGGAATTTGGTCTCGAAAATTTAGGAAGTCTCGACGATTGTTTGGCATTTTCAAGACACGAAACTGATGTTTTCAGTCTCAGAAATATCGAGACTTCAGACTTAAGTCACTTAATAAAAAATATGAAAAAATCTACTAAATCAACAGTTATTTCTTACTTTGGTTAGATGGAAATGGCAACATCATTAGAGTGGAGCTTAGTTTAAATATGGAAATTGAAAAACGACAGTAATAAAATAAACTATATTAACCGTCCTTTGTTCTTTAGGTGTCCACTATAAAAACAAAAAAAACATAAATATTTTTGATTTCATAATTTGAGTTAATAAAATCCACGATATCCACAAAATAATGAAATAATGAAAATCTTAGATAAAATATCATGTTAACAAATTGCTTAGCCTTTAAATATGGAAAACTACTTTAGAAATAATCTCTAAAGTCTGTTTTTCCTTGAATTTCACAATGAAGTATTTTCACAAATAATATAATAATATAAAGATCGTGGTAGTCATCGTGATATTCAACATACAAACTTTTATCTTTTTATAATTTTTGTAGGTGTCGAATTGAGGACAATTTTGCCCATTCTGACAGTGTCCGAGCAATTTTAACAAAATATTCTAAAAATTATGGATCGTCTGCCGCCAGTGTCATGAAAAACTATTTAAACTCTTTTGTACTTCTCAACATAACGACTATGGTACTGTAGTATACTAGTATCAGTAGAGCTACTTGTGAATGAGTTCGTCCAGGGAAGTACTGCCACCTTCCCTATTTCTGCCGCCAAGTAGTAATGTTAGCGTTACTGCGTTCCGGTTTTGATGGGCAAGGGTGTTGGTGAAATTACATGCACATGAGACTTGTCACCTTATGTCTTAGGGTGACGGGCACAGTAGCCGTGCCCCACAGATAAAACTATGAGTGGCACTGAAACTGTCATAGACAGGTTTGTCGCTTACCATCAGGCACACGACTTGTTCGTCCCGTTGTTTGGTATCATAAAAAAAAATTTCAATGTCAATTTGTGGAAACCTGGAGCCTAAACTAAATCTATGATTTGTATTTTAGGTTTCCAGGCCTCCCAACTCAGATTCAGTTAATTACATTTATTGTTCGGTAATATGTAGAACTTGTAGAGAAGAAGATACGCAGGAGTGTATGTGTGTTTGTGTGTGTGTGTGTGTGTGTGTGTGTGTGTGTGTGTGTGTGTGTGT